CCTGTCTTACTGGTTGACCGGTCTAACTCGGTTCCAGTCCCAGTGTACGTACCCTTCCGCCTCCCCGAGCAGAGCGCTTAGGCTCTGGTTGCCATGTTTGCAGATATCAGGCCTTGCCTTCACGGCTTGTCTCCTCGATTAAACCCGTGTTGCCTAAGCCAACTGTGGACGCCTATCTCTGCTCGCATGCGGCATCTCAAGTGGATTTCTAGTGCATTTTGGCAATAATGCCGATTTTCTGTGATGGCTCTGCTTATCCGTCGCCCTAGTGCCCTGACTGCCAAGCTGACTAAGAACGTCTTTGCTGGATTTCCGAGATTTCCCCACCGCCTTCTTCCTCGCAATCTCTTTTTGTGTGGTCAACGAATGGCCCTTGATTAAGACATATCCTTTTTGCTGGACTGCTGTATTCTTGCTTTGCCCGAGTTTGCTTAAGCAGTGGGAAAAGTTAGCACTAACTCCACGTTCCTTCACTATCCTGTTTATTAGATTATTCTCCCCAAGCATGTCAATGGGCTCCATAATCTTCCGCTTCTTTGTGTTGTCACCGTATGGGGCCCTTCTTTCTGTTGCCTTCCAATTGATCTTGTGTCCAGTCTGTGCGATGTGTTCCGCTAGTTTTGATCTTTCGGTATCCATTTTCCTACAAAGCCTTCGATCTTTCTTGATTGGTATGCTAACTTTTCTCCCTGTTTAGCCAATATATTTCTGTTAGCAGGCGCCGCACCATAAACAGTAAACTCCCGAACAATTCGATTTGTCTACCATTTCATGTTGCGTCGGTAGACTAGTGAAAAGAATAGATTTTTCTTTCATGGCCACACGAATATTCCATTTCCTCAGTATTAAGCGTAGTTTTTGAGTTAGTTCGCAGGAAGGTAGGCAGGAGCGGTAACCGACCTCCGTCCTCTACTTCCATCGTGAATGTAATTTTTTCAGCAATCTGGTTTATAAACTTCAAAAACTATTCCAGTTTAACTCTTCCATGTGACCAAAGTGCCAAGTAATCATTCAGGAACCGCATGAGCACTGCCAGTTAAAGCGGTGTCATCCTGAAGTTCTCTTCTATTTTGTTCATGTTTACGTTTGCCAAAAGTGCTGAGAGCGGCTATCGCATGGGAAGTCCAACTATTTGTTCATAGATGGTCCCGTTGAATGTAAAATGGCTTGTTCTTACTGTCAAGCTGATTAGTCTTCTAAATGACTTCCTACTGATCAGTTGTCATTCCAGGATATCCTATTCTCGGTCCAGGATTTCCGGCAAGGCCGTTATCGCATTTTCTTCAGAGATATTTGTATGCATGGATTCCACATCAAAACATACCGAAAACTCTGCTTCTTTCAGTGCCATATTGTTGATTTTTTGAGAAAATTGATATGAATGTTTCACCGTGTTTAATCGTCACTCATTTATTTTCGTGAGTTCCAAACATATTAACCTAAACAATTTGTGTGTTGCTCCATACTTGTTGTTGACCATCAGCCTTACTGGCTCCATTTCATTGTGTATCTTCGGTAATCCGTATGCCGTTGGTGGTCGTGCATTCTTTCTTATGATTGAATTTGTTGTCCATGCGCCAATTTCCCCATTCCTATCCATATCTTTCAGCATGGCACTTAAGATTCAATTGCTCTTCATTGTTGGATCTTTGTTTAGTATACGATATTTGGTCCTGTCTCGTAGACTATATTCAATCTTCTTGGTACATTGTTTTTTGTCCATTAACACTGTAGCTCCTCCTTTATCTGCTGGAAGGACTAATTGTTCAATCGTTCCCAGGGTTTTTGTGCATCACGGCAAATCTGTTTCTCTGTGTAGGCTCCTGATGTGCCAATAACTTTGGAATTAGTTCCATCTAAATTTCCCGTTTTGTCTCCTTAGGGAACTTGTCGGAGATATTGATAACCTCCTCCAGGATCTCTCCTAGAAGGCTTCCGTGATGTTGAATTAAAAAATGGATTCCTTTATCCAGGAATGCGGTTGTTTCGGGATTGAGAGGAATTGATGATAAGTTTAATACTTTTTTCCCATCCTCGGGCTAATCAGTAGGTGTTGTCACCTCGGAAACTACTTCAACTGGGTGTACTGGCTTTAACTTAGGCTGTCTTATAATCCCAAACTTACGCAATTTATCTACATGCCGTTTTTTAATTAAGTCAGAGGTCCTACGTGATTTCCTATCGGACATGCTCTGGCGTTTTAGAAAGTCTTCCGGAGTCAGGGTTCTGGCCAGATT